ATTTTTGTGTTTTTAGTAGAGGTGGGGTTTCAGCATGTTGGCCAGGCTAGTCTTGAACTCCTGATCTCATGATCCACCCACCTTGGCCTCCCGAAGTGCTGGGATTACAGGCATGAGCCACCGCAGCCGGCCTGAGGTCCGTATATTTATATTCGTCTTCTACAGGCCTCACTCAGACGCATAAGCACCCACTCTGCTGGCTCTCAGTCTGCTGCACCCTGGAAGCCCCGCTCCTGGAACTGACTCTGGGGCCCTGGCAGATCTTTGGTGTAATGAGACATGGGCTTTGATCTGCAGTTTTGGAGTCTGAGGATGGCAAGAATGGGGACGGGAGGGAGGCTGGTAGACACGCACATGAAGACACGGCCAGACCCCTGAGCCAGCCATGGGCCCTCCCCATCCTACTTCCATGATATAAACTACACCCAGCAGGTCCCTGGGGGTGTGGAAGGTGGAGTTGGCAAGAGGCATTCTGAGAAGCTGATTTAACAGGCTGAGAAGACAGAGCCCAGCACAGCCCTGGCAGGGCTCCCATGGACAGATGCTGGAGAAGTGACCTCGGGCCTGGATGGGCAGAAAGAAACGCGTGCCTGTCCCAGGCCTCACCCACCCGCTTGCATTCTTCCTGGGGCTCCGGAAACCACACTCCTAGTTATCTGCTCCTCACCAGCTCCATGGCTCCTCCTGCTAGGCTGTGTTCCAGAAGGCAGGAAAGCTGCCTCCTCAGCTGCATGAGGGCTGTGGCCGCCAACAGGCCTGCTGGCCAGCCCAGCTCCCTCACTCAGCCCTGGACCTGGGCGCGAGGCTTCAGGCCGCATATGGAATAGGACAGCCCAGGAAGCAAACAGTGTAAGTTGTAAGTTTCTTTTTACTCTTAGAAACTTCTTGAATAGGCAGCAAGGTACACTGAAGCTGCTTCTCTGTATTTTGGAAACGTTTGGGCCGGTAGCAAGGGCAAAGTGGGTCCTCTAAATGGCAGACATTCGCTTTCTTGGCTCTAGACTCAATGGGGGACTTTCCTCTGTTCTGGGAGGCATCACTTTGGCAAAGCCCCCCAACACTCAGTATCTTCAGTAGCTCAGGACCTACCAAAGACCTTCACTTCACATTGAGTTGCCCAGGGTCCTTCAGAGAAATACCCAATGCCTTCCATTCCACCTTACAAAACCCACTTCTTTTTTTTTTTTTTGAGATGGAGTCTCACTCTGTCGCCAGGCTGGAGTGCAGTGGCACGATCTCGGTTCACTGCAACCTCCAGTTTCCTGGTTCAAGTGATTCTCTTGCCTCATCCTTCTGAGTAGCTGGGATTACAGCCACGTGCCACCATGCCCAGCTAGTTTTTTTGTTTGTTTTTTAAGTAGAGATGGGGTTTCACCGTGTTGGCCAGAATGGTCTCAATCTCCTGACCTTGTATCTCACTATGTTGCCCAGGCTGGTCTTGAACTCCTGATCTCAAGCTATCCTCCCGCTTCAGCCTCCCAAAGTGCTGAGATTCCAGGTGTAAGCCACCATGCTCAGCCTTGAGTTTCTCTCTAAATGAATTGTATACATAGGTTGGAGTGCAGTGGCACCATCTAAGCTCACTGCAGCCTCCACCTCCTAGGCTCAAGCCAGAGTATCTTCCTACCTCAACTTCCCATGTAGCTGGGACTATAGGCCCACGCCACCATGCCTGCCCAATTTTCGTATTTTTTGTAGAAATGGCTTTGCCCTGTTGCCCAGGCTGGTCTCAACCTCCTGGGCTGAAGGGATCTGCCTGCCCTGGCCTCCCAGAATGCTAGGTTTACAGACCTGAACCACCTTGCCTGGCCCAGAATTGTACGTCTTTTTTTTTTTTTGTTTGTTTGTTTGAGATGGCGTCTCACCCTGTTGCCAGGCTGGAGTACAGTGGTGTGATCTTGGCTCACACAACCTCCACCTCCTGGGTTCAAGCGATTCTCCTGCCTCAGCCTCCTGAGTAGCTGGGGCTACAGGTATGCATCACCACACCCAGCTAATTTTTGTATTTTTAGTAGGGGGGGCTTTCACCATGTTGGCCAGGCTGGTCTCGATCTCCTGACCTTGTGATCCACCCTCTTTGGCCTCCCAAAGTGCTGGGATTACAGGCGTGAGCCACCGTGCACAGCCCAGAATTTTACCTCTTAAACACGATGTTTCATCAATCAACATCACCTTTTGCTACATTTTACACACATGAAGACTCAAGTTCAGTTTTCCGCTTGTTCACATTTTCAGGGTCTAATATGATTCTTTCTGGTGATTGCTGCAGCAGGCTGCTCTGTGTTGTTCTTGCTCAGGACGGCGACTGATTTAGAATATTTGGGACCAATGGTGACATTCCACAGCATGTCACAGAACATGGTGTCATCTGCTCTTTCCAACTGCTTGAGCTTTTAGTTTCTCCTTAATTGAATTATCTATCAGAGGAAATGGCACAGCTCCTGGCATCGGACAGACAGACGCTTGGTACCTTAATGATGGTCCTTTGTGATACACAATCAGTTGGCCAGCCTCTCCTCTACGAAGGCTTGAGGGTGTGGTTGTGGAGATTGTGGGGGACTTTCCTGTATCTACGCTGTCCCACATGGGTATTGCAAACCAATCAGGTTAGCTCCATTCCACTTGACAGTGATTAGTTCAGGGAGACACAGGCCTAAGCTGTGTGGTACATGGAACGGGAAGAAAATCAGCTTGCAGGGCTCTTGACCAAGACACACCACATACTGCTGTCTTCTTCCTCAGGACGTTTTATGTCTGAAGGTGATGGCAAAAAAAAAAAAAAAAAAGTTAAAAAGACCTGCTCCTTAGTAATTTTGCCACTGATTCAACCTGCCCGGTAGCCCTCATCCCTCTGGGTTTCACTCTTCCCGGATATAACAAATGACCTTATCGTTCAAGCCACTTCAAGTTGTGGTTTCTGTTACTGGAGGCTCAGGGTTTCCCAATATAGAGCTATCTGAAGAGCCTGGCAATTTCTATAGTTTTTAATTATGTGGCTTGACGATGACAAGTAATCTTCAATATACATAATAAAATTTCACTGGAAACCACACTAAAGTTTACTTTTTCTAATGGCATTTTAAGGGACAAATATGTTTTCAGATTTTGATTAAAATTCACCTATTCGTTGAGTGCGGTGGCTCACACCTGTAATCCCAGCATTTTGGGAGGCCCAGGCCAGCGGATCACCTAAGTTCAGGAGTTAGAGACCAGCCCGACCAACATGGAGAAACCCCGTCTCTACTAAAACTACAAAATTAGCCAGGCGTGGTGGCGCATGCCTGTAATCCCAGCTACT